CTGAAGACAACTTTTTGGAAGTTTGAGAGAAGAGTCGACTTCACGGAAGTCGATTCCTTGATGTCGATTACCAAAAACCTGACTCACATGCCTGCTCTTCGACCGATTAACTGATGTTTGAACTGTTATGCTACAGTATGGCTATATCACAATTAATATTCATATTTTATATTGTAGTTATACAATAAAAAAAACTGATATATAAAAAAAAAAAAACTGATTTATATGGAACTTAAATAATTTATATTTATATTATATATGTAAATAGTAAAAAATTTAAAATGTAATACACTTTATCTAATTTAAATTTTTAAATATCACATATGTACATATAATATATAAATTATTGTGTTTCCTCTTATCGAATACTAGTTTGTATCAAACCGTGGCGAATAAGTTTTCACAACAATTTTATGAGCCATTAATTGTATATGGACAGCTAGAGATGGTACATCTTATCCTATTTGCTATATATGACATTAAAATTCAACAATACACCAAACATTTGGTAATTAGTCTTTGCTACAATCGATATCCACTGCTTTCGATGATATATAGGATCAAAACTTTCGGTTCTTTAATGTGAAAAAAAAAAAAAACTATAGCAAAATATAAAATTTTGTATATTTTATCCATTATAATCATGCATTTAGAGGTATGATTTCTGAATATATTTTTTTTTTTCTTTATTTGACAGGTAAATTGTGATATAAATTAAAATTAGGGGCAGTTGCAATTAACAAATCAATTTAATCTAAAGGCTTCAATTTTCAATTAAACCACGTTCACCATTGATTATCTGTACTCTATTCCTTCAAAAAATGGGAGCTGGCCAGAGAGTGTTGATTGGATAATATAAAGGTAATTAGGGTACTTTATGAAGTCTAAAAAATGCAACATAACGTTGACAACGTAAAAGTGCTCAACTTTAATCTCCAGTGGATTCACTGTTTGTACTTGATTATGAAGGAAAACCAGTTATTATTAATTTATTATTATTATTAATATTATTACTATTATTATTATTATTATTATTATTATTATTATTATTATTTGTCACCTCAAGATTTGCTACGAAATTACTTGGAATTTGTCTCCTTTGACTTTGACTTTGACTTCTAAGGCTGCTGATATGCAAATTCCTCGCAAGCACAAGTCTCCACATTGAGTGGAGTTCACATTGAGTGGAGTTCGGGCTCATTTTGGTTTGGATGTAGTTATTTATGCCTTTGAGTGTAGTTTCTAGATCTAGGCCGAATTTGTTTTTATTCTTTGGGATCCGTAACGCTAGGTAGTTCTCGGTTGGTTATGGGCAGTTGCGGAGGGCTTTGTTCCCTTTTTCTCTTTTCGTTTTTGTTTGCGTGTGTTGTATAGTGTTGGTGGTTTGTTTTGTAGTTTAGTTATTGTGTTGTTTGTTTTCTCCTATTTTGGAGCTGTGTATTCTCTTGTTGGGAGTTGTATTTCTCCCGTTGTGAGTATGCTATTCTCCTGTTAGGAGCTGTATAGTTTGTTGTATTGTGGATGCGTTAGTGTAGTTGATTATAGGCTACAGTAGTGTAGACTTCCTGGATTCAGCTGTTTGGTAATTATAGTTGTCTGCTAGTTGTAGTTACGTAATTTTTATTTATAAAAGTTCTATCGTTTCGAAAAAAAAAAAAAATGTCTCCCCATTGGCCATTTGGAATCTCTCAATGCACCCATTTCATCAAAATACAGAAGAAAAATAAAAATACAAAGCAAAAATTAATGAAGTAAGATTACTGAGTAGGAATTATTCTGGATGACACATTATATGATGTTCATAAATTAGTATAAATATTTCAACAATACAAATAAAGCCCAGTTTAATAAAGTTTTAATACAAATAAAAAAAAATAAAAATGTCGACATTGTGTGCCTACTTAAACCACACCACACCAAAAAAGCCCCATTGGGTCTAAATATCGGGCCCCAACCTAATAAACAATTACGAATGGTGCATTTTTAGTGGCCATTTTATTTAACTACTAGTATTCGATCTGTACATTTGCACAGATGAAAAAAGCTACTTTTACAATTTTTTTGTACAATATTCAATGACAACATGATGTGGCACAATATGGATGATTGAGATGCAAATAAATATATGGTTAAGATTTAAGTTAATGGTACTTTTAACTATGTTGTCAACTAATGTTGTAAACTACAATTGTACATGTAACATTGCCCTGCACAGATATATAAATAAAGTATTGTGAGTTATTTTTATGCATATAATGATTAATAACTTTTGCCAAATTTACAATTAAAGAAGCTGAAATATTTATTTTTTTTGTGAATTATTTATCATTTATTTAGGAATTTCAAATATATTTTTTATTTTCCAAAAAAGTTAATTGAAATGTAACCACAACAATAACATCTACTCACGTTAAATAGTCAACACATTATATAGTCAGCTGTAAGTAAATAAAAACTTTAAAATGATTTTTGTAATTTTAAATGGATTAGTGTGTTGATTATCTAATAATTAAATGAGAAGTTAAATAAATAAAAAGTAACGATTTTTTGAGTAAAAAAATTATATTGCCACATATGTATAATTTAATAGGTTTTATTAAATGCTCATGAGCCAAGAATTATATATATATATATATAGATTCAAGATATATATTTATATTCATTTCACAGCAAAATTGCAAAAATAATTAAAATGAGATGTTACTAGCTAGGGACAATTTGGCAGTCTTGAAGTCATATGCATAAAAATGTCGAAACAATGTCATGATCATGTTAACATAATTGGAACTTTCCTCATACAATTTTATTTATTTTTTAATTAGAAAAAGAATTTGTTTCTGCTTCATAAGAGCTCTCTAGACCTCATTTATATATTTTGATTGTTGAATTAATTTCAAGTCGAAAACCTGGTGTTCTTTACACTACGAAAAAAATACTATTATTCTCATGCACAAGAATAATTTATGCCAAATTTAGGGCATACATTTCTCATACGACTGGACTTTTTGGCTAAGAAGGATAATATGAATGGTTAGTATAATTAATTGATTAATTGTTCGTCTTTTATTTATTTATTTATTTATTTCCTTATAGTAATTGACTGGGTTTGTTGGAATTAGAAGCTCTGATCAAAGAGCTTTATTTAATTTACTAATAAGTAGACTATAGTCAGCCTTCACGAGATCATTGGCAATAATTAAATTATTTCGAATTGGTACAAACTATTTTAAAAATTCCACTATCCATTCAAAATTCAGGAAAATACTACGGTCCCGTTACAGAAATATTCCGTTCGGAAACGTTGGGGATTATTGATCTAACGGTTACAAACCTGACGGAATGGTATCGTAACAGGACCGTAGCATCTCCCGAAAATATAAGGATAGAAAATAATTAAAAATTATTACTGCAAACTCAAAAAATCACCCGTCTCAGATTATATATCAAGAATAAGGGCCTTATATCTTTTATATGATCAAAATTGAAGATAAGGGGCCTTATCTTTTCATTATCGATGCACCGCATATTTTTAGTTTTATTTTTTTCTCCAACACAATAAATCCAGAAATATATAAACCTCATGATCATGCTGTAAATTACAAAATACTTTCTTCCTCACAAAATGATTATCTCTTCACACGTGTCACTTTCTTTTTTATCAGCAAGCATTGTGTGGAGAAATGAAAATACGGTTTTCGAATTCGATCCATTCCTTGCCATAATTCCTCCTTATATATTAATCAAAATATGTTAGCCTAAGTGACAGTTTCTCACACTTCGGATGCTGATATGACGAAAATCATGCTTCGTAATGTTGTTTTTATATATTTTTTCCTCTGGAGTTAGGTTTGATATTAATATTATACATAAGTAATTTTACACATATATTCATTAACTCAACACCCATGTTGTACACGGGTATTAATTTATTTTGATAATTATACAAACAATAAAGAGGTTAAATGCAATAAAACTAGTAGGGTCGGCCCGTTTAGCCCGAAAAATAACATGATTAAAGTCCATATTTCTCAGTTAGTTTAAGGCTTTAAACCATTTTTTTTTTTTTTTTGGGACCGTTGAGTCTGAACCTGTTAGGACTAGCATGTAGAAATAGGTTAACTTGTTAGTCCGTTTATATTAATGTAAAAAATAAGATTTTATTACCTTTACTTCTTTCTCATTATAGGAAAAATATATTTTTGTTTATTTTCATAAACATACAATACCTCAACTACTTATTTTATTCTTAAAATTTTGTCATTAAACTTTGTTAATAGTCTTAAAGAATGTAATAAAACTACATTTTTTTTGTTATATATGGAGAAACCTTTCATATATGTTTTACATGAAATTTAGTTAAACTTATATAAAAAAAATATGAAATGAAATGTTGTGTATCGTAGCTTTTGAAATTTTGATAAATGAACCTTTAATATCCATTTAGCCCGAGACCCGTGTGGTTAATTAGAATGCATATTAGTTACTCATTTAAATCATATATATATATATATATATATATATATATATATTTTTTTTTNNTTTTTTTTTTAAATCTCGATCATTTAGTCCAAAACTTAGGGCTAGCCATTCAAACATCTACAATTCAATTAAACTAAATTAATTTCATGTGCATGTGAATAAATTAAGGAGGACCTAGGAATTAATTAACACAAGATAACAAAAAAAATATGAGAATTTTCAAGTACACATTTTAATGCACTCAAATCAAATTTCTCCTCAAACAAAACAAAAGAAATTGACTAATATATATATATAAAAAGGTTGAGGTCGAAAATTGAAGTCCCACATCGAAACCTAATCTCCAACCCAATAGAGAAGCTGTGGCTTACAGTTTACCCACCTTTCGCTTTCATTATCTTCTTTTAATTTTTTTTTTTAATATTCTTCTTACATGCATGCATGCTGATACTTTATATTAGTTAACAACTTATTTTCTCGATATATATATAAAGGGACCAAAGTTCATGGCCAATTGCGCAATGTCGACCATTTTCGCCTCACAAGTCTTTATAACCACAAATTCCGGCCACTCGAAAGTCTCCCTCCGCCCCACAACCACCGCGAAACTCAACAACTCCGCCTCCACTCCGCCAAGCCTCATCCGGAAAGAGCCCGTTTTTGCTGCACCCACACCGATTATACACCCACTTTTGGTACGTGCTCCTTTTTTTTTTTCTATTTTCTTGATAAATTATGTGAGGATAAAATAGATAAAAAAAAAAAGAAAATAAGATTACAAGTTATATGTATTAAAACTTTAATAGATATATAGTAATTATTTGTTAGAATATCACTTGTGAGTTGTCCCACATCGTTCACACATAGAAAATAGACCCACCTTATAAGTCTACTGGGCTACTCCTCCTTTCACTAATTGGTTTTGGGATGGAACCTCATTTGGGCTTCATATGGGCTTTCCTTTTCCCCCAGTTTCTTACATGGTATCAGAGATATCAGAGCCCGACCAACTCACAAGTGAGGGGGCGTGTTAGAATATCACTTGTGAGTTGTGGGTTCACACATAGAAAATAGACCCACCTTATAAGTCTAATGGGCTACTCCTCCTTTCACCAATTGGTTTTGGGATGGAACCTTATTTGGGCTTCATATGGGCTTTCCTTTTTCCCCAGTTTCTTACATTATTTATTTCTTTAATTTGAATTATATATCTTTTTTGGATTTTTCTTTTTCGATTTTTTGCATGAAAAAATCACAGAAAGAAGACATGGGAAAGGACGCATACGAGGAAGCCATCGTTGCACTTGAGAAGCTTTTAAGGTTATAAGCTAACCACGTTACAAATTTCATCACAATAATTTTTTTTTTTTTTTTTTTT